TAAATTAACAATTTCTTTGTTTGCTTGTAGGATGCAGTTTGCCATGAGATGAGATCAATGAGGAATGAGATAACTGCTAATACATTTGTTAAACTGTGTATTTTTTCAGTAATTTAGGGTGATTTGACATATGCTGAATATAACAATGTTTGCATTGAAACTGTCAGACATGAGGTATTCATAACTGGGAACTTTTCAAGCATAAAGGTCAAAAAGGGGGGAAATGTTAGATTTGTATTGTTGATTGTCATTTATGCTTAGAAATATTTACTCATATATGCTTAGAAGTGTATATAATCATTGGTGGATTGAAAGGATGTTTCATCCTAAAGTAACAGCTCTGTGTGTTAGGGAGTGCATCCGTTCTTCTAGAGTGTCCTTGGTATGAATCACATACTCCCTAGGAGAGTTTATCTTTTCTTGTTGATTTATGGTATAGCAAGCACATGTATATCTGTTTAAGTATAAGAGCCTTTTGTTAGATGGACTCAGACATCCTGGCACTAGCTTTAGGGAGGCTTCACAGGGTCACATCTTGACCTACATACACACCTACACACACACACACACACACACACACACACACACACACACACACACACACAGTATTCTTTGTTCACATGTATACCTATGTAAGACGTCATATGTTAATGAACCTATGCATATTCATGTAACCACAATAAAAGGAGTGCTATGGGGAGCCTGGCTGAGAGTCTCTGACGGAGGTCAAGTGGTGGGACGACACTTGGCTCCAGCCAGACACCTCCCTCATGCATGAGTAAACCAGAACCTTGTGTCTTGCTTTGCAGTGTAATTATATTGTCTTCAACGTTCCAGCGAATAGGGTTTATGCTACAAACCTATCACATCACATTATGCACAAAAACCTAAGAAGCTGGGTGGGTGGATCAGGATCTGTTTTGAAATGGTTTTCTTCATATCTGTCTGAATGAAGCTTTTCTGTGGCTGCTTGTAGGTTAGGGTCCTCTCCATCCACGTTTTATGTCCTTACTTGACTTGATGCACCTGATCTGCTGTTTGGTAAACAACCTGTCACTTTTTTTTTTACTGTAACCCTCAGCATCATTTGAAACTATATCGATCAACTGGAAGTATAAACTGAGCCTCCAGCTGCTATATTGTCCAGGCTCTTTAGAGGGGATGTCACCATGGCGACAGGTAAATTGGCGCTTCATCAAAAGAAAAGTTGGAAATAATCATAATCTTTTTCTCACTATACCCAAGAAGTCTTTAATACCTCAACAGTTTATCAGTAATTAATAATTTATTTAAAAGAAAAAGTGGCTGCTGTTGTGATTTGGTGCCATATAAAAAAAATGAATTGGATTGAGCTGCAAAATTGCCATCAGGCAAAAGGCACAGACAAATCCAGTACTGCTTAAACTGACCCCCCCCCCCCCCCCCCACTTCCCGCATTGCACTGATAACAACTTTCAGGACTGTCATTGCACTCTGCACAATCATTCCCTCAGGTGTGTATTTATTATTGTTGTTATTGTCTGTTTGCTGTTTTTAACTATTTCTTTTTTTCTGATGCCAATCTAAATTTGTTGTACTTGTTAACAACAACCAAGGTTACTAATAGGGGTGGGTTTTGATAATCGATTTATCGATTAAAATCGATTCTGGCTTGGATAACGTGATATCGATTCATTAAAATCCTGAATTGATTTTTTTAAAATGCCCGAAACGCCAGAATCTCAGGTTAAACCTCACAAAATTTCAAGAACCACCGAAAAGCTAAAACAGTAAATGAGAGCAGGTACACAGATTCTGCACAAAGATGTAAACGCAAAGCTCGGACCCGCCGACGGATCAGAATCAGTGAGATGTCGCCTTTCTCACCCGACGGCACGGACACGGTCGGGGTTGAAAGCCGACAGCTCGCTGATTCCAATGTTTCGGCGGGTCCGCGCTTTGTGTTTACGCCCTTTTTACACTGATTCTAAAGCTGTTGGTTTTATCTCTCTCCAAACATTATTGACCGAACCAGCAGCAAAAGAAGATCCAAACTACACTTCACATAAACATTGTCATGAATTCCCTCTGACTTTTGCTGTTTTGCTTGCACCATGATAAAATCACACTTCATTCACAGCTCTCTCTCGCTCTCTCTCGCTTTCTCTATATACTTCAAGAACAGTTTCCCGTCTAAAAATCTGTTTTCTGCATTATTCACTTGCTTGTTACGCACAAGTCTACTGTTGTTTACAGCGCTGTCGGCCGCTGTTTTTTTTTCCCTTTTACTTACTTCTGAAAAGAAAGACTCATTTCTGCTGTTCAATAGGCTTCTGAACAAATGTAAACTTTTTAAAATTATACAAAATGCAAAACGCTTAGCTGTGTCTGTAATAAAACCGCTGTAACTTCAGAGGTAATGTTCATATGTTGATTAATGGTTTTCTTTCGTTTTTGATGTACTGCAGAATATTTTTATAAAATCCCAGGCCAGGAAAATCACCTTCATGTTTTTCTGTGTTTTATCTTCAGCTACTTTGACACAAAGGCATCTACTGTGATGCTCACACTTTTGATAGAGTCTTGCGAGTGTCAGCTTCCTTTTTATAGATACAAAAATATGTAAATGTACTGATCTGAATTATAATATTTCTGACTGTCTGAGGCAAAATTTCTCAGATTTAAATCGAATCGAATCGTGGATCAAATCGGACCTTGTGAATCGGAATCGAATCGATTCTAGAAATCAGTGAAATCAGTGACGATACCCAGCCCCATAGCTGGACTGGCCATCGGGCGGTGGGCCGCTGGTGATTTTTTGTTTTTATGGGCCGATGGATTTTTTTTTTTTTTTTTTTTTTTTTTAGGAAGGGTATATATAATGAAAGGTGTTGGATTGGCCAGTTGGTCATGATCGACTCTGGGCTGGACCAATTACAGCCGAGGAGGCCGGATGCACCCGCCCCCTTGTTTAGCAATCACGTGATTTTCGCGCATTGCATGCCGGGAACTAGTGGCAAAACAATCAAAGTACCGCATCAAATGCAAGCATTTGCAGCACCGCAAAACGTTCAATCTCCGGTTCCAATACCTTCTTGTTTTTTCTTTGCCGCACAAAAAAGGAATGTACAAAACAAAAGGAGGACAATGCCGGTCCGTAGAAAGACAGACTCGATGAAAATACAAAGAAAAGATACGAGGAAAAAATCAACGGAGTGAAAGGGTCAGACCTTTACGAGCACACAGAGTGGACAAAAGACGTCAGCGTGCTGCCCAACTTTCACCACGCTCAGATTTATAATTATACGGTTCTGGGAGTGAGTGCATACACTCATGAAGTTTTTAGTAACTTCAGGTCACTGCAACAAGCCCAGGTACAGTTTACCGACGGATGGGTGCAGGACCTTGAAACGCACCGTGTAGAACGAAAGACCATCGTACGAACAGAGGTAAGTTTACCAGTCTCACAAATCGTCGTCATAAATACACATTCGTTAACCGTTTATTAATATAACCTTTGAGCTCAACGGTAATTAATTAGTAGTGGAAATAATTTCTGGTAGCATTACAGAAATGTAGCAGTGACAATAATATTGTATGTTGTAATCGCAATGGACAATTAGTGATACAAAACAACTGTTTTACCCTGTGAATAAAAGTATATGTTTTTTGTCAATGTACCATGGTGATAACAGAAGCGAAACGCAATATTGTGTCAGGACAATTCACTATTAAAGCACAATAAATAAAGGAGCATAGCGCGACAATTTCTGTTCAGCGCCAGACTTGCTTGTAACCTATATCACCAATTATGTTAAGAAAAACGACGTATTAACTACTACAAAACTCTGACCTTTGTGGGAATGCTTGGAGCAGACTAACATGTGAGCTGGAGTGTTCTGAGACGTTATATTTGGTATATCCAGACCATCCGTCGGCTCTTACTTCGGAAACATGGCTTAAAAAATTTCTCTTCAACGACGTAATCCGATAAAAAAAAAAAAACGATCTGTTTACCCGTCGGCTTTCCGTGGCTGTCATGCGACCGGCTATTGCAGTTAATAATACAACAGCTTCTTGACATTTTTTGGGTTTCTTTTTATCGCTGTGTAACTGAGTTCAATTGAAAGCCTGCGTGCGCTAGTACCTCTTGCCACAAGTTCCCAGAATCCTTTGCGGTTTTACCCCTGAATGACGTCACATTTTCAATCTTTATCCTGGTGGGCCGGTCTCTAGTCAAAATGCCCGGGCCGATTTTTTGTCCCAGTCCAGCCTTGCCCAGCCCTAGTTACTAACCAGCCAGACTGGCCTTGATCCATGTCTGTGAAACTGAGCCTATACAAGTCTTGAAGCTGCAGCTCCATGTAGCTCAAACTGAGCCCAGGTGAGAACAGAGCAGGTAACAGTCCACTTCCTGTGGTCTGATTATTTTCTGTTGTGTGCTACATTTAATAAAACCACCCAGAGCTGATTCTGATCACATTACCAGAGCTCATGTGTGGGTCCCCTGAGGTCCCGTGTTCGGACAGAGGTTTGTTATCTGCAGCAGGCAGCTGCACTTTATCTGCATCTCCACCCACTTCACGAAACATGGCCCACGTGACCCCTGAGAACTCAACAGGTGGGAGAAGAAAACATCAGGATCAAACCTGTGCACTGCTCAAATGTAAAGCGAATAAAGTGCAGCTGGATCCACAGAAAATATGGAATAAATAAAGCTGTAAAGTAAGTAAACACTGAATAAAATCGGCAGCATGAAAAAATAGAGGACCGCTTCTTAAACCTCTGAAAGCTGCAGGGAGTCTGGTTGGAGACTTTTCAAAATAAAGCGCAGAAACGTTGACATAATCTTTTCACTTTTGCTGTTTATAAATAAAGTTTAAAATTAAGTTTAACTGTTTGTTTCAACAGAAAAACTTTTTTTTAAGTTGCTCTTAAATGAAGCCAGTGATTGGTCAGCTCAGACCGGTAACCTGACAGAGCCTCTCGGGCTCTGAGGCTCCAGGGGTACATACACTTACCGAAGCACGAGTTGACGAAGCCGTACCACATGCAGCCGCGGCGGCCGTACAGCCAGCGGCGCTGCAGGCTGGAGGCGAAGCTGAGGGTGGTGCCGCACGCGCACACCAGCATGTCGCTGACGCTGATGTTGAGCAGCATCATGTTGACGGGCGTCCGCAGGCTCTTGAAGCGGCAGAACAGCACCAGCACCAGCAGGTTGTTGAGGAAGCCGAACACCATGATGGAGCCGAGGCACACCGACACCACCACGTGACCTCCGCGCGACAGCCGCTCCAGCGGTGCGTCTCTCCACTCCTCGTCCCCTTCCTGACCCGGAGCGGTGGAAGGCTCGCTGAGGTTAGAGGTCAGGTTGAAGCCGCTCAGCTCCGAGAACATGTCCTTGTGCTCCTCCTGCTCTCCTCTGAGTGGATCCAAGTCAGCTCAGCTTCTCATGGCGCCTCCGCGCTGCGCTCTGCGCCATCCTCCTGCTGAAGACCCCCACTCGGATCAGGCTGTTTGATAATCCCCGGGCAGGGAGGAGTCCGAGGACCCGCTGAGGAAGAGCAGAAATACTCCTCACAGCTCCGAGCACAGCGAAACACACTTTAAATACCGAGGGGAGAGAGAGGAGTGACGACACACAGAGAGAGAGTGAGGAAACTGTGTTTCAAATGACAGGAGGCAGAACACCTGAGAACAGCTGCCTCAGAGCAGGCGTTGTGCCAAAAATTCATTTTTGCCCTTATTTAAACATTGTAAATGACTCGTTGGTCTATAATCTATTAAACACATGTCAAACATTTCTCTCATGAGTGATATCAGCTCATTTTGAGAGAGGACATGCCAGGGTAGAAACTGCGATCTGTTTTTGGCAGAGTGACTGTTGAATATCCTTCATTTATGAAGGATAAAAAGGAAAAAGCAACAAAAACAAAATGTAAGAAAAGTAAAAATGTCTTTATCAAGAGAGAGCTGACCAACAGGAAACACATGTGACATCACAGCTCTAACAGGATCATTTAAGTAACCAAAAAGGACTGGACTGATTATAATGTAGGTACAAAATAGGTTTGAATGACTTTAATTTTTTAGATTCACCGCACAGTTCAACTACCAGGTCAAACATGTAAGGATGTCATGACAGTGCAGTAATGAATACCAAATAAAACTTTATGCTCGGTGTATGTGCCGTGTTACAGGGTCTAAAAATATCAACCAGAACACAAAATTGACAAAAGGAAAAAAATATTAAAGCACAGAATTAAAAATGGACTAAAATAAACTATAAAGTGTTCGCAGATATAAAGATGCAGCAGTGTTTGCCTGCAAGTATGGCAGGGCCAAAGCTCACTGAGAGTGTCAGACTGAGTCCCAGTCCCAGTGTCATACATGAAAATAAAAACAATACTTAGTTTTACTGATGAAGATTTTATGGTCCGACTAGCGAAGACAGCAGCATTTCATAATCTGCTGCATGATTTTAATGACTTTGATGTTTGTAAGTAACCAGTTTGACATTAGTATTCACCCTGATGTTCGGAAGGTTTGGCTTCCCAACTTCTTTCAGCTTAAATTAAAACTAAAGTTTGTTTTTGGTGTTACGTGTCAGTTTTTATTTAGCTGTAAATCCCTCCTTTTTTGTCCTGAGAAATAAAAGTTAAGACTGTAAACAGATCTCTCCTCTCTCGCTCTGGAGTTCAGCAGTGTGCTGTCTCTAAAACACTTCTCTTGTAAAATGTGTTAGTTTTCATAGAACAACAGTTAAACTTGCTGTACATTAAACACTTTTTAACTCTCACACTCTGACAGGTGCATCAGCGGCAGTTCCCTTTGAGGTTCTTGTGCTCTTTGACATGCAGACTTGCAGTTAAAAAATAAATCATGTGAAAACCCTTTTCAATCAACTTCTCTACTGTCAGGTATAAAAGTTGACGCTTCAGTCATTTAAAAAGGAATCTTCTGGTTGGTTTTCAGGACGTCTTTCTTTTCTTCAGAATAAACAGCCATTTTGAATTTTCAAATGTCTTATGTGGCTTTATAAAAATAAATAAATAATAATACTAAGGGTGTATGTGCTAGTTTTGGTATTGCAATAAACTGGAGAAACATGTGATTGATGACATTCTTCTGTCCTCTGCCATCACCCAGGATGAAAAGGAAAGCGTGTCAGGTCCCTCAGAACTCACGTGGTCTCTGAAGAAGACAAGCTGATGATGAAGGGGAAATCTCCTTCTTCAGGTTTTATCCTAAAATCTTATTTTCCATGTTTTTAAAATGGTTCAGTTCAGATTTCTGAAATCAGAACTCGTCCACTTTGTGTGATGCGTAGGTATGAGCCGATGTTTAACTCACCTGAAAATTGATAGAGGGTCCAGAGGAGTGTACTATGAAGCCAGGTTCGTGGAGTAGCGAGCCATGTCAGGCTTAAAGTTAAGTTTCTGTGTCACCAAACTGGCTCTCTTTTTACCTGGATAAATCACCATGGTAACCTATATTGGTCACATAACATGGGCAGGAGCAGACCTGACGTCAGTGTGTGCCTGACCTCTGTATCCAAAAGCAAAACTGAACTCTTGTTCATTTTTAAAGATTGGCAGACATGAGTCACTATGTAAAAGCTGCTTATTTAGAAATACAACTGACTGTGTAAAAACTATGACATTGGAATCTTTCACAATAAAAGTAAAATAACAACACAAACTGTAAAATCGTGTTAAAAAAACTGCTTGTCTTTTAAAAAGCATTTCAAAAGATATAAACTGAGATAAACTTGTGAAGCTTGAGATAAACATGCAGTTGCCCCCCCCCCCAAAAAAAAGCTTAAAAAAACCACCTCCAGACTGACTCGGTCTTTAAACACTGTAATGCATTGAACTTGGTTTTTAGTGACTGTCAGTCTAATTTTACTCAGATGAGGTGGATCACAAAAGCAGGAAGTCCAAATACCCATCATTTTCTTTAAAAATATAACCAAGGATGTTGGCCTTGGCAGAGGATGTTTTTGTCAGGTCTGAGGAATCCAGAACTGCAGAGAAGTAACTCAAATGCCCAACTGAGCCTCATTTCCCTGAAGTATCCATCCCGTTTCTGAGAATTCAATGAAGGAGAAAACAACATGGCCGAGCTCCCCAAGCAGTTCCATCTGGGGAGCACAGCTGTCAGCACCTCCAGCATCCAATCTTCTAACCTGATGAAGGCTGATAGCTGGAAGACATTCGGATTGGAAACGCTGATAGAAAGAGGCGGTCCGCTGAGGAGCTGCAGAGCAAGGCATCAAACTCTTAGCTGAATCACGCAGAGAGTGAAAGAGCAGAAATAGATGACGGTCACTGTAGACTCCATTATATTCATCTCTCCTAAATCATGATTCAAACAAGTAGAGAAGGAGAAAGACGAGGCGGGAAGGGAAGAGTCCACAGCTGCCAGCCATCAAACACTGACATTTATTTTCACACCAACTCGACTAATCAGGTTATTTTTATGTTGTGCCTGCAAGTCAGATCAGCTGGAGGAAAAAGGACAGGAACTCTCGTTTGTCTTCATTCTCACCTGAAATCGAGCTGCTGCTGCTTCTTCTGTGTGGCTCCTGATGAAGCTGTCTGATGGCGACATGAGAAAATGTCCGGTGAAGCAACAAGCAGTATCAAACAACATGAAAACACCATCAATAATTAAAAACAAAAGAGCTTTAAAAAAAAAACGGCCTTATATTGAACCTTGCGGGACACCACTTGAACTCTCAAGAATTAATGGTTCTCCTTTAAGTCTTGAACAGTATTTTCTTTGCAGTCAGGCTGACTGCATCAAATGTCTTTTTCATGTGTGCAAACACAACTCCTACAACCCCTCATTTACTACTACTGACTTTTTATTTGGTTCTTTTAAAAATTGACCAGAGGCTGAGGAAGAATTAGATTTTTGAACCAGATCCTCCTGCAAACTGACCAACTGTAAAGAAGCTTGAAGTCTTTTTCCATCTCTAAATGCTGATATTAACTATGAAGTAGCTGGGTGAAATGTAAGGTTTTCTGATCAATATGAAGAGAGAAGAAATCGATTCAACCTGCCAATCAACACAGTTTAAACAGTTCCATGTTTCCACTGAGGTGGACTTACCCTGAGAAGACCATTGTTCTGATCCTTTATGAAACACGAAAAGCAGGACACAAGTACTGGTAGCAGGCCAAGTCCAAAGCAGAACCAAACCAGTGGGCACATATTGAACCCATTTTCATGTTTGCAGGGAACATTAAAATCCTGAAGTCAAGTTGAGGAATGTTAGACTCAGTCTCTGGTGGTGCACAGAGATGTATAGGCTAAGTAATCTAAATATCCGAGATGGTGATGAAGGAGGTGGGTAGAGATTCTGTGATGAACGAGTAGAAGTGTAGAAGTGCAGCATCATTGACTTCAGCGGGTTGAATTTCTTCAGCTGCTGCAGAAAGTACATGCTCTGCAGTTGCTTCTTCATGAAGGAGCTCATGTTTAGTTGCTGCTTTAGGTCTCTGGAGATGATGATTACCAGGAATTGGAAAGACTTTACAGAGTCCACTAGGCAAGGCTGCAAAAAGACTGGATCTGGTGGGGCTGGTTTCACCCTGAACTCTACAATTGTTAACACTGTTTTAACAGTCAAAATCACTCTAAAGGTCTGATATGGACCTGTGGATCCAACGTGTCCACCTGCTTGTTTTAAAGAGATGCTCTTTAGTTTTAGTGCTAAGGGTTATGGAGAATTGTCCTTCCAACACAAATGTCCTTCTTGAGTGGGAGTATTCTTCTTCCTGCATGATAATAGCAGAGTGTTGGGTTTCAGGAGGCTACTGAATCTCTCTGTGATATCACAATGACAGAAAAACATCCTGAAGATCAGCTTTCCTTTGATATCGCCTCCTGAAGGTCAAACCACAGGGTCATGTGATCCACAGCGGCATTTCCTTCAGGAAGCTGTCAGCTGAATTCTTAATTTTTCATCTTTTTTCCCTGAAGACAAACTGAGAACATAACGTTTGCAGCTGTGATTTGATCCAGATGTTGGAAAGGACACAAATGTTTGTGCCTTGGGAGATTCAGACATCCAGAGCCACTAGAGCGCTGCAGGGCTACTGTTAATGACATTTAAGAAGCAAAGAGTCACAGAGAGCAGCCATGCAGAAGTTTCTAATCCTGACCTCGTAAAATGTTTGGATAATAAAGTAGGTTTCTAACGTTGCAGAATTATTTTCCAGGCTCAAGGCTGTTTTCTTAAAATCTTCCTAGGATTCAGTCAATAACCGATCCACAACTGTCAGGCTTAAATAAACACTTGGGAGTGTTGCGCTGTACAGTCCCTCAAATCAGAGGGTGTAAAAGATTCTCAGCTGCATGACTCTGAGAAATTTAAGAACAATACAACATCTATTTTAACCTTGTTATCCACAAAAAAGTTTCTAAAATTATCAGGATGACTTGATTATTGTTATTACTTTGGTGTTAGTGTGCATTTTAATGCTTGTTAAGTTTACTGTACTGCTTGATGTGTTTGAAGCCCCTAACCAGTCTCCCCTCCCTGAGCC